CATTGTTCCCTCTCTTCCTCCTGTTTGCCTGGTTGACAATTTTTAAGCTTATAGATCATAGTACAGTAATTGATTCCTCAAGTAAGTTATTCCTGACTTCCTCCTCAGCATAGGGTAAGTCTCCATTTTGGTTTTACACAGCATGATGTATTTTTTCCTTTGTAACAGTTATCACAGCTTGTATTTACACATCTGTTTTGGCAATTAAATGATTAATGATTGTCTTCAGTATTGTACTATGAAGTTCCTAAAGTCAATGACCATGTCAGTTTTTGCTTGGCATTAATTTCCAGTGCCTAAGTACATAGTAATCACCTCAGTAACTATTCAGTGAAGGCATGATTGAATATGTATCAGGTGCTTACTGTGCTCAGTGCTGTGTGGAGGAGTCAGTGATCTACCCTTCAGAGCTCTATAATCTTTTGGGGTGACAAGACACTAACACAGAGATTATTAGAAAAGGCATGGGTAATAAGTACCAGAAGTGTAAAATCCAGAGATAATAAGAGAAGAGAGATCCATCTGATTCTTGATGACCAAGACCTGACAGGATTTCAACAACTAAATATGTAGAAAAGTACATTTTGGGTAACTGCAATCATATTAAGGAAACAGCTGAGTTGTTCAATTTGGCTGCACTGTAGGATATATGAATGTATGAGAGATACTTTTGAAAGATAGTTTGGAGCCTGAATTTGGAGGTCTTTGAATGCCAGAATAAAAGGTGAAAGGCTTAGATGTCCTTAAGCTTCCTTAAATAAAACAAACAACAAATGATTATCTAGTAAGCTGTATAATTAAAGACATCACTAATCCCTAGGTTTACAACTAATCCCTTATGTTGTGTCGCTCTGTGATTCATAATAAAAATTGTTTTCCTGTTAGTAAAATATTCTTTGTTAAGGACTTTGAAGACTTGCAAAGAGAAAAACAGTTTCAGTTTTAGCTAAAACATTAGTATGTAATAGCTTGAAGCTCCATGATAATAGCAAGCAGTCTTTGTTTATTGTCATTAAAATCATTTCAGGCTTTGTTTAAAAAATTTAAATATCGAAGTGCAGAATAAGTGTATAATATATAGAGTTTATTTCATCTTTACTTAAAGAGCATTTATAAGTTTATTTGGAGTCTGTTCCAAAAATCTCTTTGAGGAAAACTGCTTGTCCAGCTGATTTATCATGTTCTGCATCAAAAATGTTAAAAATTACAAAATTATGAAACCATTCAAACATTGTTTTGTTAATGTGCTATTGCATTTTTAGGCTCCTATCTCAGATTACCATATATCAGTATTTTAAAATTGAGCAGTTTAAAGCAACTTGATAATGTATCTGTGAATTACTTTGCCCTCATTCATTGGTCTTGATGTCGTATATCACTGAATATAGTTTAAGTACTTTTCTGTGAATGTTCTGATTTGATATATCATAACAAAAACTCAATTTTTATGTACTCAAATCTATCTCTTATTCTTTCCTGTTTTTGGCTTTGCTTTCATACAAAACCCAATTTTCTTCTAGTACCTTTTTATTTTTTAACGTTACATATTTAGTCTATCTGTTATGTGGTTGGCACTCTCCTAATTTCAGTGCTGACAAAGTTTTCTTCCTTTTATTTTCTTTTGGTTGTTTTCTAGGAGAGGGGAGTTTTAAAGCAGATATTTCTTTGAGATTCCTTTTAAAGTTGCCTGGCATTTAAAACCTACTCTGGTTTAAGATGAAGAACCAGAAACCGATTGTAGGAAGGGTAAATTGTTTTGTAAATTGTAACAATTGACATCTTACCACCTAGTCACTCAGTCAAGATTTTTTTTCCAGTCTCTGTCTTAAAGATAGCATTAAGTTTTTAGACAAATAATTAGGTCTGAGGAGAGGAGTAGAAATGGTGATGATCATTATAGTGGGGCTTGACCTTCTAAGAAGTCTTCCAGAGACCACAGGCTCTGATTGATATCACTGCATCAGTCTGCACACCCTGCATCATACTTGGCTTCTCAGAGAATTCTGTTTATAGCCTATCAGCCCTGCCAATTAGCAGGGTAAAGGAGTCTTTTCAACGGTAGTTAAATGCATGAATGCATATTGCCCCAAAGTTCGTAGATACTTAAGTAATTGCTGAATGGGTCGCTGGAAGCATTATTCCCTGGTCTGGGTCTTTTGTGTCAAACATTATGATAAAATGGTATCAGAAGGAAAATTTTTTCAACTAAAATTTTAGTTTTTATAGTCTTTTCCAAACGTTATGTGGCCTGTAATTCATTTGCATTTTTAAAATTTTTTATTTTTTAAATTAGCAAGAGTAAAATTGACTTTTGGGGCATTATGATTGTATGAGTTTTAATACGTGTATAGATTTATGTTACCAACACTGCAGACGAGACACAAAACAGTTTCATCACCACAAAAAAACTCCGTCCTTCTCCTAAAGTCACAACCTCTTCATATTCCCAATCTCTGGCAACTGCTGACCTGTTTTCTGCTGCTAGTGTTGTCTTTTTCAGTATATAATATAAATGAAATCAGCCAGTAACCTCTTTCAGATTGGCCATTTTCATTCAGCATCATACCTCTGAGATTCATCCAAGTTGTCTGTATCAGTATTTCCTTTTTAATTGCTGGGTAGTATTCCATGGTATGGATACCGCACAGTTTGTTATTCTTGTTCACATTTTTTTCCCATTTGTTAAAGTAGATATTGCCTAAATTTTGTTGGAATTTAGAATTATCTAATGGCATAAATGCTTCTGAAGAAAACTTTTTCTTAGTTTTTGGTTGAACAAAATATAAAGTTGAATACAGTAAAAAGCAAAGCAAAGAGTGAATACACTTACTAAGTAAGAGTGATGGCCAGCTCACCTCTGAGTTAAGTTGAGAATTTACGTGGCTATATCATCTTGAACTATATAGGAATTGTTAAGCCAATTTTAACTACATAGATTCTAGAGCAAAATCTCGTTTTTCTAGAATACTTCAGCAATTTGATTTACTAAATATTCTACGTATCTGTTAAGTAGCTTATATGTTGACATAGGCTGGTCAATTTTCCAGTAATTAGAATACAGTAAAATTCACTTAGTGCTGAAATGCTACTGAATAATTTATCTTTTTTAGACGATTTAGGAAGTACCACAAGATCTTAAATGTGAGTTATTTTCTGCTTAGTCATTTATCATTGTATACAATCCTACAGATAGAAGAAAAATATGATTATATGAGCATTCTAGCTGTTTATATTATAGATAAAATGCTTGTTTTTGTCTTTAGTAGATGTTGCAATTAACACCTGAACGCTAACTAATGCTTCATATCCAGGACTGAAAGAAAGTTTTAGAAGTTAAAAAGTTTTTAAAGATCTTTGAGTTTTAACCTTTTGGTAGGAGGAATCATTGAAATTTTTGAGTCAGGTAATGGCTTGATGATCAAAGAGTGTTTTTAGAGATCTGACAGTGATAGACTGGATATACTGCTGCCAGGACAGCAACCAGGAATCAGGGCAGGCTGTACAGCATGAGTATGAAAGGACAGAGCAAGAGCTATTTTGAATGAATAAATTGTTTCTCACTTACAGGATAAGAGATTAAATTGAGGAGTCATCAAAGATGGCTCTAAGGCTAGGAAAAATGCTAGTAGAAATAGAGAAATTGCTTAGGAAGAATGAGATTGGAAATGGGGCAGTTAAATCTGGTGTTACCAGTCATTGGATATCTTAGAAAAAAGTAGTGTCAGTGTAATGAGGGGGCTGAAAACTAGATTAAAAGTAAGATCTTCTGCCTTGAATTATCATTCATGTATATGAGTAAGCAAAAGGATTTTGGACTGATGCATGTTTAATTTCCTAACTTTATTTTGCAGAAGTGGGACCTAGGTCCTCACAAACCTTCATAGGTCAATCTTTGTTCTTCATAGTGAATAGTGAGTGGCCTAGAAGTCTAACTAGTGAATTTACATTTACATTTTTATTTTTTGCTGTAAACATCACAGAGTATTCTGTTTTTAGATAAGAGCGCATATATTGTGTATAAAATGATATAAAGTAGAACTGTCTGGAGTGGGGATAGAGTCATTCTCTAACATCAATTTTAAGTGGGTTTTTAACATTTTGAACGTTAAATACAATTTGCGTATTCTACTTCTACTTCTGTATTATAGTGGATTCATTTATTTATTTTACTCCATCTTCTGTAATATCATTGATTTACTGAAAATTTGTTCATCCTTAGAATATCTCTCAAATGTTATCATCATTTTGTAAATGTTTCATTATTTTTGAAACCTCTTTCTAGAGCTACGGTTATGTTCATTCCTTTCCCTGCAGATGGCAGAAAGCAGTATAACTTACGGAAAAAGTCAGAGACATGTCATAGAAATGACTTGAAGACTTCCTTTTGATTTTTTTAAGGCGTGGTGTTATAAAAGTAGTGTATAGTGTGTTTAATATTTCAGTTGACAAAAGCACATTTTTTTTTCATGGTAAATTTGTATGGTTTACAATACAGATCAACATTTATTTTCTGTTGTGTTTTCTTAAGAACAATAGGTAGGAAATTTGTAGGTGGTAGTTATAAGTTTTACTTATAATTATTTAGATTGGTTGGGAAAGATTAGCCTTGTATAGCAGGAAGGATACCTCTCTGTGCAATGAGGTTAAAGAGGAAAGAAGGAGTGGGGTGCAAATAAGTTTGGAAGTACGGGAACCTGCCCATTAGCATACTTCGTGAAACAGGCAACAGAGAGAACTGCTGAGAAGAGAGATAAAGATTTCCAGTAATTGCTGAGGAAAATTTGAATAGGAACTTAACAGTTGGAGATATGAGGAAGTGATTTTTTTCTCCTGCTGCAGCCCATATAAAGGTTGAGAAAAGGTGGGTGATAGAACTAGTCCAGAGTTGAAATGGACTTAACTTGTGACTTTGTAGAAATTAATACTTGTTTTATTATTTCTAAAAATTTGTTTGGTTCAACTGTTTTTTCATTCTGACCTTCCATATTTTTCTTTTGCAGGTCTTGATGACTGCTTGCAGCAATATATTAAGAACTTTGAGAGGGAGAAGATTAGCGGGGACCAGCTGCTGCGCATCACGCATCAGGAGCTAGAAGATCTGGGGGTCAGCCGCATTGGCCATCAGGAACTGATCTTGGAAGCAGTTGACCTCCTGTGTGCACTGGTAAGGACATAAGACTGGTGTGGAGGGAAACTTTGCCTGTTTATTTTTTTTTCTTGACTTTTAAAATCATTTTTCCTTAAAAATTTTTTTTGTTTCTTCTCCTTCTCTCCACCCCCTTTTAAAACATAATTTAAATGCAAGCAAAAAGAATCCCCTAATTCTCAAACAACTGGATGTGTTATTTTCCTCCATTGAACTTGATGTGTTATGCAGTGCCACATTACAAATTAAAGAAGCTTATTATCTCCATTGGTGACATTTTAATCTAGCTACTTGAAAAACTAGGTTAGAGCTCACCAAGGGAGTTTTCACAGCAACATTTGGGATATACAACTGTATACGATCAGTTGTGACATTCATTTCCTTCTAAAAGTTTTGTTTTAGTATCACAAATATTAAGTAATCCTATTTTAGAAATATCCATTTTAAAATAATCAATTTATTTGAGTGTTCTTTATACATGCCTCAATGAAAATTGAATATTGTACATTATATTGCTACTTTTGTATGTTAAAAGAGCACTGCCTAGTCAGACAAGAGAAATCAATGTGAAAATAATCCTGTAAGATTTCTGATAGTACATTAGATATTCTGAGAAGAATATAGATTTTCTTTTCCATGTTAGGTAAGATGACACTAACATGATTGGGGCTAGAGCTACAATGAGAAAGAACATGAGTCTTGTAACATAATAATCTGGAATTGAAATTTGGCTCAGTCAATTACTGACATTTGGGGGAAATAATTTCACCATAGCCTTAGTTCTTTTATTTAAAATAGAGATAATACCAACTACCTCTTCGTGGTAGTATGAAAAGCAAATGAGATTGTGTTTGTATAGTGCCAAATTCAGTGCCTGGCTCACAGTAGGTGTTCAGTAAGTAGTATCTACTGTTGAGATGATGATTAATAAGAAATGTATAGATAATTAAACAATTTCAGAATCAGTACATTCAGCACACTATGTGTCAGATGTAAAATCTAGTTCCTGCCATCTTGAAAAGCCTAGTGGGATGAGAGTGACATACAAATAATCACAATGTTATAGTGTAATTCCTAAATAAAAATATGAGCTAAGTATTATGAGGAAACAGAAAAAGTAAGTAGTTTTGACTAAGATAAATGGGTTCATATTGCAAAAGAGGTGATCTTTAACAGTCTAGTGGAGGATGAGCATGTGTTTAAGAGGTGGAGGAACAGAGGGAAGGGATTTCCAGGTAGAAAAAGCAACACGTACACAGGCACACAGAATAAAGAACGTGCATGAAAAATGGTCAACTATTTTCCTACCAAAAGTAGGTGTGAGGCAGTGACAGAAAATTAGACTTTAAAAAATAGAATAGGGCCAGATGGTAAAATACCTTAACGTCCTGATAAGAGATTTGTACTTCTTAGTGTGGGCACTGAGATAAGAGAAATCATTTCAGAGCAGAACATGCAATTGCACTTTCCCTTATCTGAATCAGATCGGAAAAATCATGCCTGAAATAAAAGCTAGTACTCAGGGTGAGGTAAGAGTCCACAGTGTTTTTGCATACTGGTCTCCAGATCCAAGTCAGAGTGGCCATGAAGGTATAGTGGAAGTGGCTTGGAGATGGGAATCTGATCTAGAAGTCCCCTATTTGCCACATCTTCTATAACAGTAATAGTTGGGGGTGTCACAGCTTGAAATCTCAAGTGTCTGTCTCATAAGCAGGGCTTCTTATAAATGAGCCACTCTTGTGCTGAGCTCCACTCTGCCAGTTTGAAGAAGGAAGTAAGATTGATTACAGTGCTACCTACAGATAGTCTAGACCTGTAGGCTTTGACCCATGAATAAGCTCTGCTGACCTAGTCTTACTTAAAAGGATAACATCAGAGAAAACACGTCTAGACTATTGCCACATCCGAGCCATGGAGCTATGGCAAATCTCTTCATATGTTGAGTTTTAATCCCTCTGTAGTTCTGAATTTAAGCACTGTTGCGTTGCATCACTTTCTTGGGAAAAATAATAAATCAAAACATTAAATTCATTCTTTCTGTGTTTATTCAACAATAGATTGGTTACATTCCCCAAAGATATCAAATATTAAACTTCCTTTTTGTTGCTTCCTCATGGCTATACATCAGCATTAGAAGTGCAAATATCTTTCAATTTATGCACCAGATGTTTTCCAGTGAATATAAAGTAAATTTCTGAGCAACAAGAATTCTGACTTACTTCTACATGCCATTATAAAATAGGAGGTGAGATCCCTCATCAGCAAGCTGAGTTGACTAGACTATGAGTTGTGCTGTTGGGAATCAGGAACTATGTTTTGTCTCTGAAACTATAATGTCTTTACTGGCTTTTCTACTTTTTCCTTACATCTACTGTATTCATTTCTTCTTTTTTTAATTTTTATTTTTTAATGTATTTTTATGTTTTTAACACTTTTATTGTGGTATGGTTCCTGTACAGTAAACTACACTTACTTCAAATGTACAATTTGATGAATTTTGATAGATGTATATACACCAATGAAACCATGACCACAATCAAGATAGCTAACATTTCCATCACTCCCTAAGAAGTGCAGTTTTTAAATTCCCATTTTATCTCTTGCCACTGCCTTTACCCCCTGGTAACCATAATTTTGTTCTCTGTGTCTGTGAGTCTGTTTCATTTTGTAGAGAAGTTCATTTGTGTCCTTTTTTTAAGATTCCACATGAGTGATATCATATGGCATTTTTCTTTCTCTTTCTGGCTTCATTTAGAATGACAATCTCCAGATGCATCCATGTTGCTGGAAATGGCATTACTGTGTTCTTTTGTATTCATTTATTCTTTTAACAAATATATACATTCATGCTCATGCAGTCCTACTGCAGGGAATACAAAGATGAAAAAGGCATAGTCTGTGCTCATAGAATATTATACAGTCTAGTAAAGAAGACAGCAGTCATTAAAAGATAATATAGATTTAAAGAAAATCCCAGGGGAGTGCAGAAGGAGATGATGAACGCTACAGGGATCCAGGAAGTGTAGGTGGGATTTGCTTTGGGACTTGCAAGATTAGTAGATGTTTGCCAGACAAAAAGTTGGAGAAAAGTTATCTAGGCAGTAGAAATATGTGTAAAGACAGAATTGTGGAAGAGTATGGGGTGTTCAGAGTAAAATGAGAATTTTGATTCGGCTACTGCAGAATGTGAAGTAATGGGAAGAATGGCAACTTATACTTTGTATCACATTATTATTCTTTGCTTAGGTTTTTCAGTCCTCGATATGCTTTCTGCCCAGTGCTTATTAGCATATAGGGGTTGTTAAATTAATGCTATATTACTGAATGAAGTTCTGTGCCTTTCTCCAGAGAACTGTATTTTTTTCTGTTGCCTATACAGCCTCTGACTCTGAAGTTTCTGTTCCTAGGATAAGGAAGACACAGAAAAAGTACCAAATTCTTTGTTTCTTTTAAGCCATGGAATAGTTTCATCTGCCTTGTCTTAAAATTAGTCCTGATGGGAAATAAATGTTACAGCAGATGATGAAAATCAAAGATTTATTTAGTAACTTGTTCATTCATGCATTTATTAAGCACCAACTATATTGTTTATACCATGCTATCCTAGAAAGAAATAAGCTGTTCATAGTTTAGAGTTGTATTAACTCTTTGGAGCTGTTATGCTATCATTTGGTGTGCTTCAGTAGAGAGCACATTGTATTCACTGAAATAGTAAAGCATAAATAAAATATATATAATTTAATGTATAGTCTTTAATTTATGTTCTGACAATACACCTTTTATTGAGAAGTACAAGTGAATCATTTATGACAGGATAAGAACAGTTTTCATTTCATTCTTCATGTACTTTTCATGTAATAGGTATTTTGCATGAAAAATTTGATGTCTGCAATTGCTAGGATTTGTTTCTTTGCAGCATAATTGCTTGGTTCATTCATCTCAAAATAATTCAATTCTGAAAAAGTCATTAAAGCAGTCCTTTTAGGACTCACTCATATTTATAAAGCAAAATATTGTAAAACCTAAACACCTGCTACATGATGCATTCACATTAAGAGCTCTAAATAAAGTAGCATTGACATTGTAAAGTATGTGGTGCCAATACTGAATATTTTCAGTTAGATGTTTAGCGAGAATTTGCCACTAGTAAGGATATAGCCAACTTGATTTTCTAAAATGTTAAATGTATTCCTTCGTTTCATTCTTTCATGTGCTTTTGCATGCATATAATTGAGAGAAAAACAGTATGAACTTAGCCACAATTCCCTAAGACTAGACTGACTATATTGAATCAGTGTGGAGTCACATCTGTTTCCTGGCAGAAATGTTATTGGCCAAGAAGGTAACACCTAGGGCAAAGAAAATAGCTAAGTACACTTCATGTCCAAGCTTTTGTTTACTTGTTGTAGTTCTTTCTATACCAATAGTAATGCCTAGTTGTCCCATACATATCCAGTAAAAAGCAAATCTGTAGTGAATAAACCTGCAGTTTATAAAAAGTCAAAGCAGTTCTCAACTGCATACCTCTGGCCCAAAGCAAAGGGGTGCTTCATTTACTTCTTGCTTCTTCACATGGTAGGCAAGGACTACAAGTGATTTACTGGTGACTGCAAGTCACAACAAACCATCCACTTTCATGAAAGAAATAGCAAGAAGGTATCTGTTGTCCATAATTGATTTTGAGCTACTTAGAATTGAGAGCTGTCATAAGAATTAACTTGTGAGATCAACTAATCCATGTCTTTTGTTAAAATAGGACCACATAGGTGCTAATATACAGATAAGCTTCCAGCCTATTTTTATACTTTTTAGAATTTTTTTTAAAATGCTTTTGAATTATTGGTTTAAGTAGTCACATTTTGTGTTAACTAAAATAAGTATTAAGAATTTCCTTCCCCATCCTCTACTATGCATCTTTTGTCTCTTCTCACCACTGGATTCCTCTGGCGTCCTCATTTTTCACCTGAATTTCCTCCATATAGGTTATTTCTTTAGTAGGATTCCAAGTTAGGAGACCTTCTCAAGGCATCTTTCCAGGTTTTGCACAGAAGATTTTTCTCTTCTCTAATTCTTGAGTTGTATTTAAAATTTTTTTTAATATTATCAAGTGTGAAAGCTTCAAAGTGTTTTTACTTTGACTTCAGATTTTTATTTATAAGAAGATCTGTATTATTTTTAAATCATTTTTACCTTTTCTAATGAAATATTTGAGATGCTAATGTATAAAGAGATAATTTAAATGAATCTTTTATGGGGATAATGGCTACAGAGTGCAAGTTATGTTACCAGGTTGATCGATTAGGTTCCTCTCTAATATAAACTGTTATAATTTGAGCTTCTCTAAGAAATCATTATAGTTTGTAAACAAATGTTTTCTCATTAAATTCATTAATACACAAAAATGAAAAATGCAGACTGTTGTACTTAAGGGAAAATGCTTTAACATAGGGAAAACATGAAAATAGTTTCAAGCACTTCAGAACTATCATTTAAGTTTAGTTGACGTAATTGTAAGTTGTTCTTATCTAGTCCTTAGAGAGTATCTCTTATAAGAGGATTTCTTTTTTAATATAGGGGCATGCTGGATAAAATCTCATGAATGTTTCACAAGTAGTCCATGCTCAGATGCAATAGAATTTGAATAGACTGTTTCATTTGTGTAAACCAAACCTCTTAACTTGAGAGACTACTGTAATTCAAATTTAGCAGTGAATATATAATATACTGGTTTTTTTTTTCAAAGCAAATCCATGGCTCCAAAACAAAGTTCTTCTAACAAAAATGTGAATTTTCAGCAAAGAACAATCAGATTTTTATCACTATTAAATCTTTAGTGGGAACATACATAACTTGGTGTTTAATATTTATGCATCCAAATCCTTCTCTGATCCGCTTTTTTCTCCTCTAAGTTCTTTCTTAAATTACTGTTGAAAAAATAAACCTAAATTGTATATAAACTAGGTACCTTGTGGTTGTTGACTCAACAATATAGCTACATTCATTGTGCCATTTGCTTCCCTTTTTCACCTTGCCAGTATTTAATCTTCCATTTTGGTTCATTTTTTCTCACCACCCTACTTGAACAGGAGTAGACTATTGATGCTAAGGAGTTGTGGTAGAGGCATTCCCTCACAGGTGGCCTCACAGAGTCCCGTTCTGAACTCTGTCTACTCTAAGCTCTGAGCTCTTTACGCAAAGCCAAAAAATTTCCCTGTGTCTCACTTTACTTAACTGTAAAAGCAGGGTAAATCGAACAGAATTTGGGCCTCAGAAGCTGTCTAACATACTTTGAATTTTATGATTTTCTATAAGTGAATAATACTTTTAGCTTTACAGATGACAGTACCGTACATGCTGCTTAGTAGTTTGATTAAGGTCATCCTGTGATCTGATTAACCAGTCTTTCTCAGAATTGTTTTACAACTCATAATTATCAATTGTAAAATTTAACTGTAACTTATAAAGTCTTTCCCTAAAGTTTGTGTGAGGCGATCTTACAATATTTTCCTATATAATATGGTAAAAAAAAGTTTATATTTACTGATATAACTCTTTTCTGTAATAATTTATAGATGAAATATTTAGGGTAAAATAATAAATACTATTAGAAATTGAAAAATGAGACCAAGGGAAAGAAGAAAACAAATAATACTTATCAAAAAGCCATTGTGATTGCTTTAGATGTGCTTCATATTTGACTGTAAGCTAATGCAACCATGACAAAATTAAAAATAAGTTTAGTTTTATAATTTGTATTATAAAAGAGAGAAAGTCTATTGGTTCCCCTGAAGATGTAGAGGTTTTCCAGGTATACCATTTTATAAAACAAACTTCTTATGTGAGTCATTGTGGAGGAGACACAGAAGAAAAGTTATCTTGCATATGATTTATCTTTTGCTGTTTCATTTTATTGCTGGGTTTTGCTTACTTTGCTCATTTAGGGGAAGCAGAATTTTTCTAGTACCTATACTCATGACTATGCATATGCTAATAGAATAGATACTGAAAAATAATTGTTGATAATGAATTTCACAAGTAAATGAACTTAGGTTTGGGTTTTTTTAAAAAATGCTTATGAGTCCTTATAATCTTTCTGTCTTGGGCGGCATAGTTCCAACATACAGTGCCCCTTCTTTGCATGTTCATTTTGTTTAGCTGACGTTTCCCTAAATCCTCATTTGATTATGTATGTGTTCTGCTAGGCTAGGAATCCTATCTTATTTATGTGTGCCTCTTAATATTTGTTTCATTGCTTATACATATAGTCAAGTATAGTAAAGCACTCAGTAAATATTTTCATGAATGAATAAAATATTGACTTTAAGTATGTTTGTTCTCTCTTTATAATTCAGAATTATGGCTTGGAAACAGAAAATCTAAAAACCCTTTCTCACAAGCTGAATGCATCTGCCAAAAATCTACAGAATTTTATAACAGGGAGGAGAAGGAGTGGCCATTATGATGGGCGAACCAGCCGAAAATTGCCAAATGATTTTCTGACTTCGGTTGTGGATCTGATTGGAGCAGCCAAGAGTCTGCTTGCCTGGTTGGACAGGTAAAATCTTCCACATGTTTCATAGGTTATCCTCCTCAGATACCAGTTTTAATATAACGTTGTTTCATGTTTTCTTGTGAAAAGATTGAACAAGTAGAGGAATATTAAATAACAGATGTCTCATTATGATTTACCACAATATAGGTGTGTCATCAAATAGATACTAATTGTTTGCAAAATTTTATACCCAACTAAGTTTAGCCAATCAATAATTACTCCCTGACAATTTAAAAATACCTTTGCCACTTTATAAGCAAAATCTTTTTTGACAGTTATAATAAGATTTGTAATACTGCCTTGTCTCCTGATTCTCTGTGTTTTTTTCATTAATTGGTTGTATTTAAGAAAGTGACCATCAGGATTCTATTCACTGTTTTAAATGGGTAGTTGGACACTGACACTTTCGTAGCATGCATTGCTTGTCTCATTACCCTTGCTTTTGTTCATTCTTTATTATTATTCACATTGCACAGTCAGTTTTGGATATTGTAAACGTGGTTTTGGTCCTTTTTTGCTAGTTCAGTTAATTTTGTTTTGAAACACATAAAATGATGTTTTCATAATATAAAATGAAAAATGTTAGATTAAAGTTGTATCTGTGGTTAAACATTTTAATGATAAAACATTGCAACTATTTAAAAAAACTAAATAAACTTTCATTTTGGAGAATTTTTTGAAAGGGGCAGACACTGAGTTATAATGCTTAAATAATCAGATTTCAAAATACACTTTGTCTCTCACAGAAACTCTGCTAATGTACAATTTTACTAGAATTCTTTCTTGAATCAATGTCAGTAGGATTTACATGCATATACATATATATGCAGTTGACCCTTGAACAACATGGGTTTGAATTTTTTTCAGTAAATACACACTACAATACTATATGATCATCATCAGTTGGTTTAATCTGTGGATATGCCGGGGAATTCTACCAAACGTACAAAGAAGAACTCATACCAGTCCTTCTCAAACTCTTCCAGAAGATTGAAAAGGAGGGAATACTCCCAAACTCATTCTATGAAGCCACCATCACCCTGATACCAAAACCAAGCAAAGACACTACCAAAAAAGAGAATTATAGGCCAATATCACTGATGAACATAGCCGCCAAAATCCTCACCAAAATATTAGCAAATAGAATCCAACAACACATAAAAAAGATTATACATCATGACCAAGTGGGGCTCATCCCAGGGACACAAGGGTGGTTCAACATACGCTAATCAATCAATGTAATATATCACATCAACAAGAGAAAGGACAAAAACCACATGATCATCTCAATAGATGCAGAAAAAGCACTTGATAAAATTCAACAGCCATTTATGATAAAAACTCTCACCAAAGTGGGCATAGAGGGAACATATCTCAACATAATAAAAGCTATATATGACAAACCTACAGCCAGCATAGTACTCAACGGTGAAAAACTCAAAAGCTTCCCACTAAAATCTGGGACAAGGCAAGGATGCCCACTATCACCACTCCTATTCAACATAGTCTTGGAAGGCCTAGCCACAGCAAGAGAGAGAAATAAAAGGGATCCAAATTGGAAAAGAAGAGGTAAAAGTCTCACTATATGCCAATGACATGTTACTATATATAGAAAACCCTAAAAGGTCCACACAAAAACTACTAGAGCTGATAGAAGAATTCAGCAAAGTAGCTGGTTACAAGATTAATGTTCAAAAATCAGTGGCATTTCTTGACACTAATGATGAATCAACAGAAAAAGAAAGTAGAGAAACAATCCCCTTTAAAATAGCACCCAAAGTAATAAAATACCTTGGAGGACTGATTATAAAGTTACATGTGGATTTTCATCTGTGTGGAGTTGGCAACCCTAACACTCTCATTCAAGGGTCAGCTGTATTTTGACTTTTTAAAAATATGAGACCTTATATTAAAAAAGACATAAAAAATTTATATGTCTGAGGTAAATTTAAGGTAATTTTACTTAATTCTATATTGTCTAATTTTATACAAATTAGTAATAACATATAATATGATAATACTAAATCCAGATCTGAACAGTAAGCTGTATATTATTAGCTTTTTGGTAATTCATTGGTGAACAACCTGTTTCTTTTATATTATGACATCATTAAAATTCTCATAATTGTCTAAACCACGTTTATGAATTATATAAAGTAATTGCAGTTTAAATTTATAAATTCTACAAGTTATATAATGGTCAGGAAGTAAATATACTTAAAATATGGCTTATCCTTAAGTAATATAATACACTTGTTTCAAGAGGCTTCTCAGTAATCAGAAAACTTAAAGAAAACATATTTCATTTTAGTTATATCTTCTAATACCTATCAGCTGTCCTGTAATTATAAATTTGCTCAGCCCTGATATTTAGATTTGTCAAATTTCATTAATTTGCTTTTATCCTACTACTTGTTAAATAAATAAATAGAATGATTAGAGAATATTTTAACTTCTTTTATTTTTTGTTGAGGGGGTAGGTAATTAGGTTTATTTATTTATTTTTAGAGGAGGTACTGGGGATTGAACCCAGGACCTCATGCATGGTAAGTATGTGCTTTACCACTTGAGCTATACCCTCACCCCGAGAATATTTTTACTTCTTAATGGCAGATATGGCTGTTTATAAAAACACATAATGGCTTCTAGGACACTATATAATAGTTTCTTAGATTTTATTGTATTATAATTTTTATGGTGACATTATTTTTATCATCTAGTAAGATGCTCTTAGTAAATGCCAATTCATTTACAAACGTACGTGAGTGCATCTACGCGTTCACAGCAGTCCATGAAGTCAATCAATGGTGTTTTGTGTTTGTTTCATAGGAAGTGAAAATGTGACAAAAAGCCTGAAGGAATAATTTAAATCATGTGTTTGGCTTCCACTGCTGCAAAGTTTCTCACAATGCTTGTTTTATGCTTTGTCATACCACGGTGATAATTAAATCAAGGGCCACTTTACATTTTGAGCATAAAAATGAAATGTATACTTGGAAGGGAAAAAAAAAGACAACTTTGTGATAACTTTAAAGTCTTCTCCTGAGACTGTAAATTGAAAAAAGAAACTGAAGTTTATATTTTGAAGGTTTTTCCGCAGGGAAGTTCAGCTCCAGCCTGGCTTGCCTATAATGATTGTATATTAACAGCTTGTTTTAAAAGAAAGAAAGGAGAAAAAGAATTCTTTGCCATGCTAAGGCATTTATGCTGAAGGCAGTGGGGAGCTGTTTAAAGTTATTGTTGTGTTCAAACCTTTGAATTTTGAAGAATAGTTGGGCTGTAGTGTTGGGAAAGATTACTGAAGAATAAGGCTGGAAGAAGGGAAACCAGTTAAGAGGTTATTTTAGGAATATTTGTCCCTTAGTATCCTCCAGGGCATTGGTTCCAGGACCACCTCAGATACCAAAATCTCTTATATAAAATGAAATGATATTTGCATATAATCTATTCATATCCTCCTTTATACTTTAAATCATCTGTAGATTATTTATAATACCTAAAACATTGTAAATACTATGTAAATAATTGCCAATAGGCAGCAAATTCAAATTTTACTCTTTTGAACTCTCTGGAATTTTTTCCCAAATATTTTCAATTGGAGGTCTGTTGAACCCATGGATATTGAACCTGCCACTGTGGAGTGGTGCCACTGGAATCCTGCTGCTGCTACTGTTGGTGATTCAGATGCTGCCAGCCATACTCATTTAATCAAAACAACCCTAGGAGGGTTGTCTTCATTTTACAATAGGAAAAGTAACAAGTTCAGTTCAAAACCAAATAAGATGTAAGTGATGGAGCCAGGATTCATTCCAGGAATCTGACTACAGAGTTGTTTCTCTCCATTGCTATTTACTGAGATCTTTATTTAGAGAAGCAGCAGTGAGTACAGAAGAATGTTAGAGATAGAAGTAGAGATTAAGGAAACCAGAGACATCTGGGATGAATAAGAAGTCTCTGACTTGGCTGACCCAGTGGATGGTTATGCCATTATCAAAATAGGAGGAACAGGTTATGGTGGAAGACAAGTATTGAGTGTTGGCCATTATAGACTGTGAAAAGGTCTTCACAATATTGCTGCTTAGAAAAGGCATATGCTCAATAGAGATTTGGGAATAGTCTTGCACATATTAATGTGGAGGTCTAAGGAGATCTTTATAATGGATTCCTCTTAACCTGCTTTATTTGTTTTCCATCACCCTTAAACCCTTGTAACACTATATAATGTACTTATGTATTATTATTGTTTTTGTCTGACTACTCTGTATGTGATGTATGCTTCAAGCGAGCAGGGATTTTCATCTTCTTGGTTCACTGCTATCACAATTATGTAGAAGAGTTCCTGGCCTATAGTGGCTACTCAATAAATTTGTTTTGAGTGAATGATGAGGAGAACTGGAATAAGGAGTGACCTCTGCAGACCACCACCAACTGAAGGTTGATTAGAAGTTCAGCTTATTGAAAAAATAAGAAGGCCTATTCAGAGACTCAATAGGGTAGGATTAGTTGAGAGTGGTGTCATGGAAGCAAAGAGAGTAAAGAGGTTTTTATTGTTGTTGTTTTGTTTGTGTATTTGTGTGTGAGGGTGGGCTGTTGGTTTTTTTTTTTTTGAGATTTGAGTATTGTTTTATTTTTTTCCCAACTTTATTAAGATAGAAGTGACATATAACATTGCATAAGTTTAAGGTATACAACATGATGATTTCAATACACATTGCAAAATGATTCCCACAATAAGATTAGTTGATACGTCTTTCACCTCACGTAATTACCCTTTTGTGTGTGTGGTGAGAGCATTTAAGATGGGAGTAAAGAGTTTTAGGGAAAAAAAGGAGATGATCAAATGCTGAGAGATTAGGTAGGGTAAGACAAAGTTTGTGAAAAAATAGGATATATGTGATCTCACCAGTAACAGTTCAGTGTTTTTACTTAGAATTCATGAAAACTGGAATGCATGGGTTGGTTGTAAGGTAAGTGAACTCTTTGAAGAAATTTTTCTGTGACTT